TCTTAATGATACTTCTCTATGATTTGAAAGCCTGAAATAAAAGCCTCTTGACGCTCTGCAAGGTATTCCTGCAAGAGGCCTACAGTCCACAGTGCAAGGAGGAACTGGTTTCTCAGATACTATAAAATTAATATGAAACTGGCTTGATAGTCATTGCCAAAGAACTTGACAGTGGCTCACTGTTCAGCTGAAAGGATTTATCAAGCAAGTTCCTAGTTTTGGCTTGGATAATGGAATCGAGAATGTGCTTATTGAATTTGCAGACAGTACTGAGCTGGGAATGGATTTGAGAGCTTTGAAGAGCTGGGTTAGAATCAAAATGAATTTGACAGGTTGACCAAATGGTCTGAAAGAAACACAGTGTGGTTCAATAAGGAGAAATGCAGAGAGCTCCACTTAGGTGAGAACAATCGATTGCCTGAGAATGGAATGGGAGGAGATGGTCCAGGCTATGTCCATGGTGAGCAGCAAGAGCCCTCTGAGACCTAACGCTGGTGGTGGGGCTGGTGGCATCAGGGTTGTCCCTGTGCTTCCAGCTCCAGGCCTGTGTGAGCAGACTAGCTGCAATTCCTGTTCAGCAGCCTCCAAAGCAATGTGAGTTTGTGGGAAGGAGCGGGCAGCCTCCACTGGGTTTCACATGAGGTTTTGCACTTGACTGCACTCGTGGTTTTGGAGCCAGAGTTTGGACCCCAGGGTTGAGGTTGAGGTGTTCTACCCCTCACACTGAGCAAGCCATGCAGAAAACTCCTAATGGCACTGGTTGTCATCTGTGTTTTAACTGTGTGTTCCTGCAGGGTTAGGCTCTCCATTTTGTCAAGCCCAAAATCTTCCCCTGTGGTGGGTTTCATGGTGCATGTGATGCCCAGTGGTTGCTGCCCAGAGCACAGCACTGCAGCTTGTTGCCAGTCTGTGCAACAGGATTGCCAGTGCTCAATACAGGTACTGCCCACTGGCACAAAAGGCAGCTTGTGCAGCCTCTCCGTGGTGCTTCCTTTGCAGGAGGTAGTTCTTCAGCTTTTTGCAGGTGGTAGGACTCAAGTTTTCTCTTGTCAGGTGCTTGTTAAATCTCCAAGACTTGCAAAATTACTCTTCAGAAGGTATAGCAGGAGACAGAGGTAGACAGAATAGCTTCAGGGCTTTCCTTTTGGTTTCCAAGAGGAATTCTGCAGTTCTCTGTAGTTTTGTTGTATGACTTCATTGTGGTTTGTCTTCTCTGGGTTTCTGTTTACAAAATCAGTTAAACTAAACATGTTTTTAAACTCACTCTGTGGCATTGATAGTCGTAGCTTACACGGGGTCATTTTGGTATAGATGACATCCAAAACAAGCTGGCCAGCATTATCTGCTTTTATCTGATGTAGTGGCCATCAAAGAATTTTATGGATTCAACTCAGAACCCAGCATCATTTTAGATTAATTTTTAATAACCTTGTGCCACTTCTGCATGTGGACAGAGCCTAACTGATATGCGCAGCAAGTCCAAAGAACCAGACACTGATTTTAGTCTAGACCCTGCTTTATTACATGATTTTCTTTACATGTGCCTCTGCTGCCTTCTCTCCATTATGTCTTTTGTTGAGCAAACCCCACCTCTGGACCGAGCTGTTTATTCCTGATGAGGGTGGTGAGTCCTCTGGAGGAGGAGACTCCAGCAGCAGATGGCCCTGAAGCGAGGTGGGGAGATGGCAGCTCTCTCTGTGCAGGTGAAGGCAGCAGGGTCTGCTCTGCTCTTGTCTTCAGCCTGCCATGGTCCCTGGGAAGGAATTCAGTTGTGGAGTTACTGTGGCAGCCTGGTTAGCGTGACCTGATTTCTGAGCACTCACCACTTCCTGCCACCATAACACATCATGGTCTCGAGTCACCTCGGGAGAGCGAACAACACGGAGCTTCTTTGGTGCCACAGGTTGTCCTAGCTTTGATGAGTGGAGCCCCATGTCCCCGTAACTGTCGGGGCTCCTGCTCTTTCCTGCGTGCCATCCATCAGGGCAGAGCTTCCTGCATCTGCTGAGAGCTCCCTTTAGCTACACACTCCCAAGTGATTCATCTTGCTTCATACAAACAAAACCCAAACCAAAACAAAAGCAGGTGACGTGCTTTCTCCTGGCCCTGGGAGTTCTTGCTTGAACCTGGGACCCCTTCTTCTGGGAGGAGGCCAAGCTGGACGGCAGCTTCCCAGCTCTGAATCCTCCCTCTGTGAGCGCCTGGCCCCGGCACTGCCCCGGAAGAGGCTGGGAGCCTGTTTGTGGGAGCCGCAGCCAAGCGGCCGGGAGACCCGGGCTGCTAGAACACTGGGCGTATTATAGCTGCAAAAGGCACCTTGCCTGCCAAATCTCTTTGTGCAAGAGGGTTTATTCTTTAGCCTTGCAAAGATTTCGCTTTTGTTGGTTCCTTTTTCACTTGCTCGCCGAGACCTGGGAAGGAGGCTGCAGGGCTGGGGTGGGAAAGGAGCGTCCAGCTCCTCAGCCTTGTGTTACCAGGAAGGAGCTGTGCTGTGCTCAGACCTCTGGCTCGTGTGAAAGCAGCCAGCTGGCATCCTGCTCCCCTTTAATGCCTTCATTTTCCCTCTTACTTCTTTCACTGTGGATGCTTTTTGACATATAATCTAGCTTAGTAAAGAGCAGCACTGGGAAGCCCATGTGGGGCTCACTTAGGGTGTGATACTAAAAGTATTTCCTCGTATTGCCTGCAGAAGAACAGGAACATCTGTGTAGGGAGGCATGGTCTTGCAGCAACGGTGGGTTTAGGTTGCAGAGTTCTCTCAGAACATTATTGTGCAACAGTTAACAGAAGTTCAGTAAAGACCACATAGACCCTGTGAAATAGAACACGTTTCCATGTGGAGCTGCTTTTGCCGACTGCCAGAAACACCTCCCTTCCTGTTCTTGGAAAACAAGGGCCTGGCTAAAAGGCTGAGCTAACTGGACTGACGTCCTCCATGAAACATTAAAAGGTATTGTGGTCAATATGCTGCAGGATATTGTATCATCAGTTTCTGTAACTACTTGTGGCTGAAATCATCTTCCAGCTCCAGGAAGAAGCAACCCAGAGGTGGTCTCAGAGGTGATGGGAGAGTATTTCTCTAGGCTGTGGAGCCTGGGAGACCTGAAAGAATGTGTAAATCCATCTCCCGTTTGTGTTTGCCTCGTGCTGAAATCAAAGGGTGAAGAATTGTAGATGGGGCCAACCTGCTGGTTTATCAACCACTGCGTGGGAGCCAGTGAAGCAGGTGGCATCTTTAGCTGGTTGAGGATGGAGAAGAGGAGGAGACTGGTGAGGAACAAGTCCCCTCCTGCAGTGCAGAGGCTCCTGCCAGCACGCTGGCCTGGATGTGTGCTCCCTTTGTGTCTTCATTTTGACCTGTTGCCTCAAACTTAATACTTGTCATCTCTGTGGAAGTGGCTGTGGCTTCCACCTTCTGTGGCTGCTGTCTGCTGGCTTCACAGTTCTCCCTTTCCCCTCTTGCAACAGTCCTGCCACGCTGTTCTCCCTGTGTGCCCTGTGTTTTCCTCTGCCCTGGCTCTGTCTTGCCCGTGTAGATACGTCCCGTGGGGATGAAGCTGTCTGTGGGTCCAGCCCTTGCCGTGCTGAGGCCCCCTGGGGCTCCTGTAAGAGCGTGGTTGTGGCTGAGGGAGGAGGGAGGGGCTGCTGGCCTGACCTGCCTGACAGGCAGGAGCTCGCAGCCCCGCTCCAGGCGGGGGAGCTGCACAGCTTCTCCCTTGCCAGGCCTGGAACCTAGCGCTGGGCACTGGCTGGGTGCCCCCTTGAAAGGCAGCAGGCATCTTATTCCTTGAGCCAAAGGTACAAAAATCCAAACAGAATCTTCTGACTTCACTAGCATCAAATCTTGAATGTATCAGAGGAGTTCTGAAGGCTGCCCAAACGCTGGACACAGCCAGCTCTGTGAAGGGCCATCAAAGCCTCAAGCACTGGAGTACTTGCACAAGACAGAACTAGGAGGTGGTTTTGGATGCTCAGGGGTTCTTTCCTCCAGCAAGGCTGACCCACAAACTTTTTGGTGGGTTTAAGGGTGGTTTGCAGCATGTGTGAGGGAAAGGAGGTGGATTTCTTACATGGCTTTCCATAGCAGAGCTGGTGCATCATGGTTAAAGATACTGAAGCACGTACTTAGAATGATTCTGGTTGCTGAAAGTGCTTAGGCTGCTTAACAGAACTGCAATAAATTCCTGGTTTGAAATGGGATTGCTTCCTATGTGTAATTGTTCATCATACTGACTTATTACAAATACTATTTTCCAGTTTTGTAAGACAATTCTAAAAAAAGGTTGCCTTGGGAAAAGGTGAAGCCTGTGGAGGTGAGGAAGAGCATTTCCTGGTGCCCAGCCAAAGAGTGTTCCAGGGCTGCTGTGGATTTTGGAAAGTGTCTTCTGTGTTCATTAGTTATCAGACACTGCAAGCACGTCTGTGTTCTTCTGGGTCATGCTTGGCTTGGTAGCTCTGGTTGCTGTAAGGGTGGCTTCCCCTGCTCCAAGTGGCTGGGAGAACCTGTGATACCTTTTCCTCAGCACCCAGAAGCTGGGCAGCCATGTTGTGAAGCTATTCTGCTCATGACTCAGTCTGGGTGAAGGTTTTTCCCTGGCTGAGAGGATCATAAGTATATGTTGTTGAGCCTGGAGAAAAGGAGGCTCAGGAGCCTTCTCACTCTCTGTGAGGTTGGAGACAGGTGGTGGTTGGGCTGTTCTCTGAAGGAACAAGGAAGAGGACAAGAGGAAAAGGCCTTAAGTTGCACCAGGGAAGGTTTAGGTTGGATATTAGGAAAAATGTCTTCTCCTGTCCAGGGCTGTGCCAGGCTGCCCAGGGCAGTGGTGGAGTCCCCATCCCTGGAGGGGTTTCCAGGCTGTGGAGATGTGGTGTGAGGGACACGGGTCAGTGGAGACCTTGCAGTGCTGGATTAATGGTTGGGCTTGATGATCTGAAAGGTCTTTTCCAACCCAAACGTTTCTCTGTGTCATTCCTCCATCCCTGTGCTTTCTGCTGTGCTGCAGGTGGCTGCTGCGGCTCTGACGTAAAGCAGTACGTGTATGGAGGCTGGGCCTGGGCCTGGTGGTGCATCACTGACACCCAAAGGTAAGGAGACCCCCGGGACTGGTGGGTTCGGGGTAGGAGTTAGGCAAAGCCATCCCAGTGGGGCTGTCAGCAGTGTCTTTAGGAACACGGGGCTGGGCACTGCCCGTGGAGCCCTGGATGAGCATCGCCCCGGGCTGCTGCCAGTGCCCCGAGGGAGGGCTGCGTGTGCAGCACAGGAGCAGTGTGTGCCCCACAGGGTGCCTGGGAACGGGGGAACTCGCAGCCACACCGCTCCTGCACGCCCTCTGCCTTGAGTGGTGGGCCCTGAGGTTGGGCAGGGCCCTGCAGGAGCTCACCCCATCGTTTCAGGTTTGCCTGACAGGAGGTGCTGACGGGTGAAAGAAAACGGCAGGGTGGGGGAGCTCCGTGCTGGCTCTTTGTGTGGGGACAGCTGGGTATCACAGTGCAAGAGACAAAACACAATAGAAATCCCATGCTTTCAGCTGGAGTAATTTTCAGATGACCTCTCTGTCCACACCTCTCCACAAACCCAACGCAATCAGATGGGATTTTTTTTTATTTTATTTTTTTTAGTTTACATAAACCCCACAAAGCTTAGAGAGGGTCACAGCCTGGCCGGTCAGGCTGTTTGTTCCCCTGCCAGTGGAGAAGGCAAGAGCCCTGCTCTGCTCTGCAGCCACGAGGCTCTCACAGAGGTGCTGGGCAGCCCACCAGGCTGGCTCATCCACGGCTTCACAAGAGGAGCCAAGTTCTGCCCAGGATGGCCCAAACTCTTACCCAGTACCAAAAACAGGTGGCACGTCATGGGCCAGTGCCATCTCCTGCTCCTCAAGTCTCTTTTCTAAAGATCTGCTGACGCTGTCACCACGGGAGCAGACTGCCTTCCTGTTTAAAACCACAGGATTTCCTTTCTCTCCCTTTCCTCAGCTGTGGATTTTGCTTGCTGCTTTCTACCATGCTGGTCTCTGAACTAATATGCTGTGATAGTGCTGCTGTCCTGCTGACGTAGCTCTTTGTCTTTAGGCTCTGGGGGAATGTCACTCTCCTAACACCTCCCTCATGCTCACCAACACAGTTTTCCTCCGGCTGTGTGAAAAATAACAGGGGAAAAGGATAAAGACGTGACTTTTGGGTTTTTGCACTGAGTGGTGGCCAGAGGTTGTAGCTAGCCCTCGCTGCCTGATCTTGCCACCTCTTTTCACGTGTTGCCACCAGCAGACAAAGGGAGCACGTGGCTGCCCTCGCTCTGCAGATGACACACTGCCAAAGCTGCTCTTCACACGGGGGTCAGGTCGCTTTGCCTTCTTCGAAGGGGTCCTGCCTGCTGCTGGCAACTGACTCCCCACAGCTCTCGGGTCTTCTCCCAGCTGGCTGGTACTGGGGATTTCTGTGAGAGCCTTCCGTACTGCTCTGGCTGCAGGAAGAGATCTCAGCTAACACCCACTGCTTCAGCTCAGGCTCTCCAGCGATGCTCGCAGGAGGTGGGAGGGGATGGGAAGACCCAGCTCGTGGGCTTAATGCTTGAGAACTTCATTGATCCAGATAAACCTCATTCCCAAATTTTTTTGAAGCATCTCGTTGGGACAACTGCTGATTTGAACAAATGGTTTCTGCTTCTTCTCCTTGTTGTGTGAGAAGTGCAGAGGACGGCACAGGACCTTGACCTGCCATGTGGAGGAGATAACAGATGTCTTCAGGAGACTGACTTATTAAGTTAAGCGAAGGCTGAGTCCAGGGCCAAGAACTGCTTGCCAGGAATGAGCTGTCATATGACAGAGGTCTCTGCATTATTTAGCAAATGGCACCCAAGCAGCACCCAAACAGATCTTTAAAATCTATACCCTTGGTTCACTCCCTGGGATATGGGGCTTAATCCTCCTTTTGAGACCAGAGCCTTTGCCAAATACCATAAGCAGTGCCACAGATGGAGCCTACTTCATTAACTTGAAGAGTGAGGCAGATTTCTTTTTCTGAAATTAGGACATCTTTTCTGGAACTGCCAGTGCTGAAAGCAAGAGAGCAGCAATTGTGCTGCTGTCAGCGGCATCCTGCCAGGTAGCACTAACCTGGGAACAAAGGGAACAGTTAGAGCTGGCAGGGCCCTGGGCCCTTATCCTGCTGCAACCTTGAGGACTGGGAACAAAAAAAAAACCCAAACCTGTCCCTGTTTAGGGGTCAGAAATAAAAGCAGTGAGAGAAGCAGCGTGATCTTACATGCCTCTGGGGGAACCAAATGGTGTTAGTCAGCTTCTCAGGACAGCCCTTGGAAGCACCTTCTCTCATCAATGCCTTAGCCAGGGGTAGGTAGCCAGGGCCCTGACATTTTGATTTTTCTGACCCCTTTTAAACATTGGCATAGAAGCATTGAAATGAATACCAAAAAAATAGAGTTTTTTGTGAGTGGCCATTACTCCAACAGAGAATTGCAGCGGACTCAAGGATGGCAGTCTGGGTGGGGTACATGGTTCAGTTCCACCTGCAGTGACTTAGCAGCCCCCAGCCTGTTTATCCCTGGTAAAAGAAGCAGCTGGGTGCTCTAAACTCTGGCCATGACCAGGGGGAAGCTGCCCTGGCCCAGGCTTACAGGCAACAGGAGAAAGGCAAAACAGAACAGGGAGAAGCTGAAACCCAGAAGTCTCGTCTGTCCTTTGCAATGAGTGTCTTACTCTCTGATAACTGCTTTGTATATTTGCTGTCCTACCCTTATTCCTTGCTGCTCAGACTGTCTTTGGAGGTTATGACCATCCTCTGTCGCTGTGAGAATATTGAGACGTCGGAGGGGGTCCCACTGTACGTAACGGGGGTTGCACAGGTAATAATCCACCAGCTTCCTAACACTGTGTCTAACGTTGTCCCTCTGGTTTGAGCAAGCAGCAACAGCAGCAGCAGCAGCAGGATAACATAAAAACTAACGGTTTTCTAATGGGACAGCTGAAATTTCAATACCCTCCTCTTCTTCCTCTTCAGCACTTGCCCTGGGGCACACTCCACAGTTTATAGGTAATGCAGACAGATGCGTTCTTGGCAAATTCCAAATTCAACATTGCTCTACCAGCTCCTGATAACGCTGCAGCCACTTCCTCCAGCTGTAACCCTTTCCCTGACAGCAGTTTCCGTTCCATGCTGGGTGGAGAGCAGAAGGGCCTCTGCTTTTGTGTGGGGCCACGAGCAGGGCAGGTCGGGTTCTGCAGAGGCTGTGGGGCAGGTGGGAAGGCAGGTTTTGTGCTGTTTCAGAAACCTGTAAAACTGCAGGGGAATTGCAGCTGTACTTGGCTTTGCTGTTTTGGGAATGCGTTTCCACTTGGTCCTTGTTCCTCCATATGGAGACAGTGCCCTTTTGGGATGTTGTCATGTGAAAGTACAGCAGAGAGACCTCGGCTGGTTTGTGACATACAGGACCAGTGTTTGTGCTGTGAGTAGTGATGACGTGGTGTAACAGTAATTACCAAACATCCCTGTGACTTGCTGGCTAAGAAGCAGCACAGTACTGAAATTAAATTCAAAGTATAGATTAGATCTTCAGAAGGCTAAAGCCCTGCACTAGCTGATTAAAGCTCTGAATGCATATGGCACAAAAGGCCTGTGCACGACCTGGACAGCAGGATCTGTGTTATCAGCTCCCAGTCTGAGTGCCAGTTTAATTAGGATGGTGGCCAAGGCAGGCATGAACTTGCAGAGATACTTTTTGGCCCTTCCAGCCAATCCTCGAGCGACTCAGCAGGCACACGGCAGCCTGGTCGGCCCTTCATGGTTCAGATGTTTGACCTAACGTTCACTGACACAAGCTCTGCCCCTGGCTCCCTGTCCTGTCTCCCAGAGCCTTCCCAGCTTGTGGTGGCTGACACAGGAGCCAGGCTTTGCTTCCTGAAGCAGAACCTGCCACGGCCAAGCATGTCTCTTGTTTTACCAAATCATCACCTGCAGATTGCTGGGTCTGGTCCAAGTACCTCAAGCCTACCTTGGGTGACCAAGAAAGCTCTAGAGCTGCAGGATCTGCTCTTGGGTGCCTGATGCTGTCCAGGCATGGCCCTAAAGAGCTGGAGACTCACTTCTATCTGCCCTTGGGTCATGGGATGATGGTAAAAATAGAGGGAGAGGTGAAGCAGGTCCGAGGGGAGGTCTGTGTGAATGCTGACCTGGTGAGGGTGGAAGCAGGGCTGCTTCTTGCAGCATCAGCAGCAGGCTTTGCCAAGCTGCAGGGTGGCAGTGTGGGCAGGCAGGAGCACCCCGGGTCTGTGCTGTGCTTTTAAACCAGTGACAGCAGCCAGCGGGAGCCCCTGCAGCCCCGGCACAGCCAGCCTCTGGTGGAGGGCCCTTGGGGCTCCCAAAGCTGCCAGCTTCTGGCCACCTCACTAGCCCAGCAGAAGGGAAAGGGTCACGGTGTCATTTCAGTCTGGCTCCCAGCCTTTCTCTGTTGATAATTGGCATTTCAGCGTTGTCTGAAAATCTGTTTCTTGGCCAAGGTGACTCATCTGTCTCGTCTGTCTCAGTCCCTGGACAGCATCCTGCGCCTGTCTGACATTACCTGGGATGAGTGCAACAGGTCCCCCGGGGCAGGAGATGCAGAGGGAAGAGCTGAGTCTGTGTTACCTGGAAACGTGCAAATATTTTACGTTTTTTGGCAGGATTTCCCTAGAGATAATGACGTTACAGCCCAGGTGTGAGGACGTAGAGACGGCGGAGGGGGTAGCTTTAACTGTCACTGGTGTGGCACAGGTACAGTAACTCCAAAACATCATTTCAGGAATGCATGTCTCTAACTTCCATCTGGTGTTCCCCCTTAAGAGGTTACTGTTGTCCAGGAACAGAAGCCAACTGCTCCGAGACACATTCTTGTATGAAATCACACTGTCCTCCCTGGTTCAAACACACTACAGCATGTCCCATGTCGTGAAGGGGGTTGTGACCTCTCCTCCTCTCCCCAAAAATCATTCTGCTTATTCTGGTGTCTCATTTGTCCATGTGGCAAATGAAGTGTGTGGGGGTGACTTGATCTGTCTGAAACACTGATGGACCACGGTGCCCCTGGAGCTGTGTGGGACCCTGTGGGACCGAGCCATTCCTTCTTGAGATGACATCAAGCATCATATTGCTTTGGATTATTATTGTTATTATTATTAACACATAGACCTTGTAATTCCTCATGGTGACTTAAAGCTTAAAAAAAAGATCTTGGTCCCTCCAGGCACTAAAATTTCTATGTAATATTTCTGGCTTGAATTGAATTTTGGTTCTCTGAAGCCCTCTTCAGATGTGAAAAGCATCTCTTGCTGCCTGTGACTTAAACACCTGCATTTCTTAGACTCTGAGGTCTGCTGCCCTGGTATAGCATGTGTCCTCATGGCCAGATCCTGTGTTGGGGAGGGTGCTGGGAGGAATATGCTAGTAGTTTTCAACAGAATTTGCCTCTCCAAATAGGCAGCTGGATGCTTTGATTGGAAATTACTCCTGACAGCTCATTCTGGGTGTATAAAATCCAGGTAGTGCATGTGTGTCCAAGGTCAGGAGGGGTGAGTGCCACGTTCCCTGTGGTGAGCAGTGGAGCCAAGCTGAGATGCAGTGGTGTGGCCAAAACCCCACCTGCACCAGAAGGCTCCCCCAGGGACGAGCACCGTGGCTGCTGCAGCCCTTGTAAGACCGGACGCGTGAGAGATTTCCCCCCGTGCTTTCCAGAGCAGCAGACTCCTCTCTGGGCTCGTTGGGGTGCCCTGAGCTGGCGTTGCAGAGGAGCTGTGTGCTGTGGCTGTGTGTCAGTGCCCATACAGATTCAGCCAGGAGCAATTTCTGGGTTGTTGCACAAGGCAGAGAGGCTGGGCATGGCTGTGACTCAACAGCAGATAATCCATCCCCCTGCTGCTGTTGGGGAGTGGGGCTCTGTGAGGAGCAGCAGCACAGGAGCCAGCTTCCTGGGCTCATCCTGGCTGTCATGGTGAGAACCAGTGTCTTTGTTTTCAGTTCTTTATATCCCTGTAGCTGCTAACATGTCACAGAACCTCAGTGGTCTTTGCATGGTTGGCAAAATGTGTGCAGCCATGTCTCCCCTCACAGGCATTTCATGAATCTGTAGGCTTTTCCTTGGGCAAAGGTGTTTCTCTGAAGCCAGCATTCCCTTTTTGACCTAATTTTAGGGCATCCTTCCATTGCCTGCAGAATGGTCTAGTCTGGGTGATGTGTGGTAGCAGGAGGCTTGATCACCAAGTGCCTTGGTTTAAAAATGCATCTCCCAGTTCATCTTATTCATGTTATTCTCTCTTCTCACTGTTCATTTTTTTCACTGTCCCTTAACTTTAAAGATTTAGGGTTGTGAGATGTGAGGAATTACTGTGCAGAAAGCAGGCTTGAGACAGCTGGGGATGTGTGTGGCAGAGTTTACCTTCATTTTGCATAAGCACTTCAGAGGCAAACACTTTTAAGGGCTTGTACAAAATGGGAAAAAGACAAATTCTTACTGGAGAAACACCTTTTAAAATGTTTGCCAGAATAATAGAAGTGCTTAATGTGCATAAGGGTGCTGTTCTGCATTTGAAGAGGGATGTAAGGAGCACTCACCAGTAGCCACCTTCCTGTGCTGGCAGGGTGCTTGGGGTGTGCTGGGAGGCTGCTGCCTTAGGCCACACTGCTCCATATCCTTCCATACCATCTTCCTAAGCCTCAAGCTAATCACAGTGTCTCCGCTGTGACTGCAGCTGGCTGGGGCTGGGCAGGGCAGTATGGATCCTCCAGACAAGCTGGTTTTGTGGTGGCTCTCTGATTTTCTGCCAGCTGAACTCGCTCTCTGATGCCAATGACATTTGAAGAAGCCCCAAGTGCCACAGCACCCTGCCTGAAACACTGGAAGCAAGCTGAGCGTGGATTGCTCCACTCTGTTTCCTTTGGTGCAGGTTGGACTCAGTGATCTCTTCCAACCAGAGGAGCTGTGATCTGTGCTGGGTGGGTAGCCAGGCTCACTCAGGCTGCCCAGGCTCACCAGTGCAGGCAGGGTGCTGGCTGGCTTTGCCCAGGAAGGCTGAACCCTCCCTTGCTCCTCCTGGGTACCACAGGGACTCTCTTCCTCAGCATCCCACTCCAGGCTCCGACCCTCCGCTCTGCAGCTCCCAAAGGGTGGGGATTGTTTAGAGAGGTGGAATTGCTGGCAGATGCTCACCATAAACACTGCTGCAGAGTCTTAGATGGTTTTGGGATTTGCAAAAACCTCCCGTTTGCTGTGAGATGAGCCTTGCACAGGGCCCACACCTCCGGGTGCAGCTCCAGAGGCAGCTCTCTCCACTCCCCCTGGTGTAGAAAGCACACACTGCTTTCCTGGGGCACAGGGCCAAGAAATCTTGGTGGCTTAACCCCATAAGGAGCCCAGAGAAAGCAGAAGAGGATTGCCACGCTTGCCTGAGGTTCTGTTTGGCATTTTGACTGGGAGACCCAGCCTGGGAAGCAAAGGTAGGAAATAGGCTCAGCCCAGGTTGGTGTTTCTTCACATTGCCAGGTGTAGGGTTGTGGCAGCTGAGTCTTGGTCAGCCTGCCATGGCCAGCCCCCTTAGAAGGTGGTGGCTGGTCCCAGCTGTCCTGCTCTCTGGCAGTGCTGGGCCTGGGTGCTGCTTTTTGCTTGGGCTTGGGGATCGTTTTGGATTCACAGGCTATCAAACCAGGCTTTCTCAAAACACAGTTGTGTGGCTTTTGCCAGCAGTTCAACTCTGAAGATCCATCTTGTAGGTGTCAGGGTGAGGTCTGTAGGCTGTGAATCCATCAAGAGTGTGCATTGGTAACCTTGGAGGGCTCTGGTGCAGCACCTGAAGCTTCAGAGGTGTCTGAGCCAGGACCATGCTGCCATCACAGCCAGGTCCAGCCAGGGGGAGGCAAGAGCAGGGTACTGCCAGCATCCTGTGGGACAGGAGGCACTGCCCAGCCCAGACGTCTCCATGAGAGGGTGCTGTGGGACCTGCTCAGCACCCAGAGGTCCCAGCAGAGCTCTGTGGCTGGTATGGCTCTGCTTCCTTCTCTGGTGCTGCCAGACACAGAGACGTCCCTGTGTCCAGGCTTTGCCTCAGCCTGGACCTGGCCACCAGGAGCTGTCACCTTGGTGGGTTGTGCTGAGTCCTGTGGAGCTCCATGAGCACACATCTCCACTGTGTAACATACCCCATAGGGATTTTAACCCACTTTGTCTTTAAAAAGCAGCTGGCCCTGATGGTAGGAGGGAAGCTGGTACTGGGGTGGCTGTATCCCATCTCTGGGGATCCTTTCCAAACTGACCGTGCAGAGCCGGACAACCAGGTCCTGGCCATGGCACACAGGGATCACCACAGAGGGTGGCTGGGAGCTCCCAGCCACGAGCAGGACAAACCAGTGTGGTAGGGCCACCTCATCTCATCTCTGCTTGCAGGGACCACCAAATGGAGCCCCTGTTCCCAAGCTGCTCTTGGGCATTTCCTTGTTTTCTGCCTTTCCTGTGTCAGAAATGTTAATTTTAGTGAAAGAGGAGGAAGAGAAAGGTATTGAAATGGCTTTTGGCCAGGGTAGAAAGGTCTCTCCTCCCAAGTCTGGTGTTGGTGGAGTGGCTAAACTGGAGAAGAGGAGGCTCAGAGGAGACCTTCTCACTCTCCAAAATTCCCTGAAAGGAGGTTGGAGCCACGTGAGGGTTGGGCTTTTCTCCCAAGGAGCAAGCAACAGGACAAGAGGAAACAGCCTCAAGTTGAAGCAAGAGAGGTTTAGGTTGCATATTGGGAAAAATTTCTTCTCCAGAAGGTTTGTCCAGGGCTGTCCCAGCCTGCCCAGGGCAGTGGTGGAGTCCCCATCCCTGGAGGGGTTTCCAAGCCATGGAGATGTGGTGCTGAGGGACATGGGTTAGTGGGGACCTGGCAGTGCTGGGTTAACTGTTGGACCTGATGATCTTAAAGGTCTCTTCCAACCCAAACAATTCTATGATTCTAACTGGTAGTTCAAGGCTCCCAGGTAGAGTTTTCATCAGGTGAGACTTGCAGGGGCAGGCTCTGTCCCCACATCACCTGCAGGCCACTGAGGTGGGATCAATGGCTGCAGGGAGCACTCTCCACACTGAGCTGCAGCCAGGGCTTGGAGAGGTGTCTGCTCCAGGCACAGTCTCTTGGAGCACTGGTAGCACAGGGGGCCTGGTGATGGTGGTGCTGCTGCTGCTGCTGTTGTGTGCCTGTCCCTCTTCAGACAGGTGCCTTCAGTCCCTTTGGTTTTTGTCTCCTCTCTCTAGGTGAAGATAATGACTGAGAAGGAGCTGCTGGCTGTGGCCTGTGAGCAGTTCTTGGGGAAGAACGTGCAGGATGTGAAGAACGTGGTCCTTCAGACGCTGGAGGGGCATCTGCGCTCCATCCTAGGTGCGGAGGGGCTCACGCTCGCCTCACTCAGGCATCTCCAGGAGCTTTCTGCCTTCCCTTCTGGCTGTCCCAGCAGTGCTGCTGCTGCCACGGCAGCCACCACAGGGTGCTTCCTCTGCTGTCTGCAGAGGTGACATCTTAGATTGTTCGTCCCCTGCAGCAGCTCCTGCTGTGTGGCTGGGTGTTGTGATAAGCGGGTTTTTGGGGCCTGCAGTAAGAGATGTCTGGGTCCCTGTGGGTTACAGGTGTGAGTGGTGGCTGCAGTTGTGACACTGAGGATTACGCCCTCATGGCCAGACCAGAAGAGATTAGGGACAAGGACGTTGCTGGGCTTAGACACGTGCTGTTGTGTGTTACCTGTTCCAAATAAAGTGCTTCCCCTTCCTCCCTGCTGCAGGTACCCTGACAGTAGAGCAGATCTACCAGGACAGGGATCAGTTTGCCAAGCTGGTGCGGGAGGTGGCAGCTCCTGATGTGGGTCGCATGGGTATTGAGATCCTGAGCTTCACCATCAAGGTACAGGGTGCTAGGTCCTGGCCCAGGCTGCCCAGAGAGGTTGAGTCTCCATCTCTGGAGAGCTTCCAAACCCACCTGGATGTGGCTGACCCTGCTGGAGTGGGAGGGTTGGATGAGATGATCCAGCACCATCCATGCTGGAACTCTGTACACCCAGACACAGGGCACACTGCTCTGGGGCACCCAGCAGAGCTGCAGGAGCAGCACAACAGCCCAGCCCAGGCTGCTCTGCTGCAGTGGCTGCAAGGCTCCTGCTGAGAGCCTGCCCCAGCCCTTCAGGAGTTTCCATGGCAGCAGGCAGGCAGCTGGGCGACAGGCTGTCTCTGTGCACGGGGCTCAGCAAGGAGCTCGCTGATCTCCCAGCCTCCAGGGAGCTGGAGGAAGATGTCGGGGTGCTCACCTCCCCCCGGCACGCCTGCTTCGGTTTGGCTGACACGGCTCCTCCTGACCCTGGCATAACTGCACAGGCACTGCCTCTGAGCTTCAACGGGAAGGGAGCAAGATGGAGTTGCTCGTTTGAAGTGGTTGTGACTTACCTTCCCTCTCCAGGATGTCTATGATAAAGTGGATTACCTGAGCTCCCTGGGGAAGACCCAGACGGCGGCCGTCCGAAGGGACGCAGACATCGGCGTGGCGGAGGCCGAGCGAGACGCTGGCATCCGGGTGAGTCCAGAGACCTGCCAGCCATCCCCAGCCTGGCCTGGCCTGCTCCAGCTGCACGCCCTGGAGCTCTGCTCTCTGTTTTCCCTCTGCAGGAGGCAGAGTGCAAGAAAGAAATGCTGGATGTCAAGTTCATGGCAGATACCAAAATAGCGGATTCCAAACGGGCTTTTGAATTGCAGAAAGCTGCCTTCACTGAGGAGGTCAACATTAAGGTGAGAGGTAGCTGGGAGCCTGCTGCTGGTCCCTGGCTGGCTCATCATGGTGTTGGTAGCTCAGGGACTTGCCAGCTTCTTCCTGCCTGTGTTAGGAGAACTTGGGGTTCTGTGTCACAGTGTGAAGTCCTCGAAGTGGATTCCTGTCCTGTTTGCAACAGTTAGGTGGGACTAGGAGGAGAGGAAAGGGTGGGGAGGGTCATCCAAGCTAACAAGGGGTTGGTGGGGCTCAAGTGCTGTGAAAGAGCACAAAGGGAAGGGCAGCCAGTATAGCTTGGAGGATTGGGATTTCACCCCTGGGGAGCAGTTTGGGAGCAGGAGCCATGGCTAGTTTCAGGGCCTGCCAAGGGTCCTTACATCTGTGCCCAGGAGACTGTTGCCAAGACCCCTCTTCTCATCTCTCCTGGGTGCAGACTGCGGAGGCCCAGCTGGCCTATGAGCTACAGAGCGCCCGGGAGCAGCAGAAGATTCGCCAGGAGGAAATCGAAATCGAGGTGGTGCAGCGCAAGAAGCAGATCGACGTGGAGGAGAAGGAGGTCGCCCGGATGGAGAAGGAGCTGATCGCCACCGTGAAGCGGCCGGCCGAGGCCGAGGGCTACCGCCTCCAGCAGATCGCCGAGGGCGAGAAGTGAGTGAGCCCCTGGCCAGCCCTGAGCCCCCCGCACCCTGGGCTGGGACGAGGTGGGAGCTGTGCTGAGACCCCGCCTGGGGGTCTGTCAGCGGGGCAGGCGCGTGGTTGGCGGAGGGAGGGAAGCAGTGTGGGTGTGCTGCAGGGATCTGGGCTGCTTCAGGGCTGGGTTTCCCTTTGCAGAGTGAAGCAAGTGCTCATTGCCCAGGCGGAGGCGGAGAAGATCCGCCAGCTCGGCGAAGCGGAGGCGTTTGTCATTGAGGCCATCGGGATGGCGGAGGCCGAGAGGATGAAGCTGAAAGCTGAAGCTCTCAAGCAGTACGGAGAAGCCGCCCGGCTGGCTCTGGTGCTGGATGCGCTGCCTGAGGTGAGGAGGGAGCAGCTGTCCCCTGCCCCGGGCCAGTAGTGGAGAGTTCCCAGGCTGGGCCAGGTCTCCTGGGAGCACGGTGAGGTCCCGTGCGTGGTGTAGGGCCCTTGCCCACCAGGCTGGTGAGCAGTTCCTTGGCTCTGCTCATCCCACCCTCCTTCCCTGCTTCCCCAGATCGCTGCCAAGGTGGCCGCCCCCCTCTCCAAAGTGGACGAGATCGTGATTCTCAGCGGGGAGAGCAGCAGCAGCACGGCCGAGGTGAACCGCCTGCTGGCCGAGATCCCCGCCTCCGTGCGCGCCATCACGGGCGTGGATCTCACAAAGGTGAGCGGGGCATGGCCGCGGGCAGTTCCTGCGGCTCCCAGGGCACAGGGACTTGCCCGAAAACTTTCAGACTCCTCAGGAGCCTCCCGTTCCCCAGCCCCGCTCCCTGTCTGCCCCTAACAGCTTCTCTCCTCCCCTCCTACAGATTCCCCTGATCCAGAAAGCCACCGGGGCCCAGGCATGAGGCTGGCCAACCCAGAGCTAGTGAAGATCACTCCCTGTTATGCACTCAGACATCAACTGCCTTCAACAAGCAGGAATTCCTTTTATATCAAAGACAATCGGAGTTTCATTTTTAAGCTCTGGTGCCTTATTTTGTAGGGCCAGAAAGTTGCATGTCCAATCAGCTGCTCTTTTTTTTATTATAAAGGGAGGGAGGGGATTTATTTTGTAATTAACTGTATATTGTATCAGGCTGGGGTTTGGATCCGATCCCCAGCTAGGACTGGCAGCTTGTCTGGCATTGCAATCCCAGTTGGTGCCTTGCTGTTCTCTGTCCTTGGGTGGTTGCCCAGAGCTCGGAGCAGAGGCTTGGTGGGATGTGGAGCTGTAGGAAGAGAACAGCCAGGCCTCACCTGCCCTCCCAAAGCCGCCCTCCAGCTGCCCTCCTGGTCACTGCCCAAGCCCTGCCTCTGCCCACATGCTGTTTCCATGGCTGCTGGCTTTCCCCCTCCCAGTGTCTCACCCACAGGGTCCTCAGAGTGCTGCCCAGACTGGGCTTCCCGGAGGTGACAGTCACCCTGGGAGCGTGGCAGGCAGGCACTGCCAGCGGGTGCTGCCCGCTCCTGTGCTGCCTTTCCTCAGGGACGTTTCCTCCTGGGATCTGGAGAGGGAAGAGCTCAGGGGCGTGTTAATGCAGGGAACCCAACACAGCCCTGCTCTGAGCCAGGCTTAGCAAGGTCGCACCACCAGGAATGCAAAAGAGTAGCACTGTGCCAAAGCCACTCCATCCCCTAAGAGGGAGGTGAAACCACTGAGGCCGCTGTCCCCGAGTGCCCGTAGTGTATCTGGGCCCTCCACAACTAAAGCTGTGGGTCGGAGGGTCCAGGCAGGGTGCTGTGGTGGGGACAAGGCTCCCCCAGCACCACGGCCTGTACAGCTGCCCGGGGACCAGTGCCCCTGGGGCTGGTGTGGTGGCCATGGGATGCCCCAGCAGGCAGCACAGAAGCCCCTACCTCGCTCAGTGCCCCTTACGGCCCGTGGCTTTGCTGCCCCAAGTGACAGTGTGGAAGAGAGTGACCTCTGCATGTGTCCCGTACTCCCCATAGTGCCACCA